AGCCCAGCATTTAATTTCTTGATGATAGCGATTCTAACTGGAGTGAGATGATATAGTTTTAAGTGACTGCTGAGGATGTCAGACTTCCTTTTTGGTGTGTTTTCCATTCATATTGTTTTGAAAGCTGTTTATTCACACTAGTCTGTTTATTAATTGGATGATTTTGATTTGGGGTAGTTTTTGTAGTTATTTAAATATTCTAGGTATTGGCTGGGTGGTGGTACCACACACCTTTAATCCCAGCACCCGGGAGTCAGAGGCAGGCTGATCTCTGTAAATTCGAGACCGGCTTGGTCTACAAGAGCTAGTTTCAGGACAGGCTCCAAAGCTACAGAGAAACCCTGTCTCAAAAAACCAAAAAAAAAAAAATTCTAGGTATTACTCTATGATGTATTATTGGCAAAGCTTTCTTTTTCCATGTTTGTAGGTTGTCTCTTTACTCTGGTGATTTTTTTTTCCTTTGCTAGACATAAGGTTGTTTTTCTTTACTTATTTTTCTTTTTTTGTTTTGTTTTGTTTCAAGTCAGTTTCTCAGTCCTGGCTGTTCTGGACTTCTCTTTGTAGGCCAGGCTGGCCTTGAATTCACAGAGATCCGCCTGCCTCTGCCTCCCAAGTGCTGGGATTAAAGTTGTGTACCACCACCACCTGGCTAGGCAGAAGCTTTTAATTTCATACAGTATCATTTATAAATTCTTAGGATTTCTTGTGTTATTATAATTCCTTTTTAGAAAGTACATGCCTACGCCTGTGCCTGTATCTTAACATGTTTCACCTATCTAAGTTTCCTCTAGAAGTTTATGTCATATTTAAAGGTCTTTGATCTATTTCAAATGGACTTTATGAAAGGTGAGAAGTATGGATCTCTGATAAAATTTTAAGTTGAGTATACTAGAATATTTACCAAAATGCATATTTTGTATCATTTTGTCCTTTATGGAGATTGTTTAGAGTACATTTCCTAATGTCAAACTAAACACAATTCAGAATTAGTGGGTATATTAGAACTATCGTGTAAAACCAAGATTAATTTATTAAAGCTATTCTTAAAACTAATTCATGGTCAGTACCTTTTGATATATTGATGTCAAGTAAGTGGCCCAATTAGCAAAAGCCCTTACTTACAAAGCAAAACCTATTTTTTAAAAAGCATATGTAGCCATTTTACAGCAAATCTTCTTGGAAAGTATTTTATGTTTATTATTATTATTTTTTTAAAAAACTTTTCCTATGGTGGTTAGATTTTTGTTAAGTTGATGCAAGTTGTAATCATCTAGGAAGAGGGAACCTCAATTGAAAAAAACGCAGTCACCAGATTGGCCTGTGAGCAAGCCTGTGTTGCATTTTCATTATTGATAATATGTGTGGGAGGGCCCTGTTCACTGTGGTTCCATCTCTGGGCAGGTGGTTCTGGATTGTTTCAGGAAACAGGCTGAACAAGTCGTGGGGAGGAATACAATAAGCAGCATTTCTTCATGGTTTCTGTATCAGTTCTTGCCTCTAGGTTTCTGTCCTGACTTTCCTCAATGGTGTACTGTTACCTGGAAGTATAAGATAAAATAGATCCTTTAGTCCTCAAGTTGCTTTTGCTTCTGGTGTTTTATCATAGCTTTAGAAACTTAAGGCATTGTGCTTGTGAAATATACATTCAGAAAAATATATAGAATTTATACATATAGTTTTAAATTTTTACTATTTTATTTGTATAGGCGTTTTTTCTGCATAAATGTCTGCTTATATACCACATTTGTGCCTGATGCCCATAGAGGCTAGGAAGGGATATTAGATTCCATGGAACTACCATTATAGACAGTTGTGAGTCACCATGTGGGTGCTGGGAATTGAACCCAGTTCCTTTGGAGGAGTAACCAGTGTTCTTAACCTCTGAACCATCTCTTCAGCTCTCAAGAATTTATCCATACAACTCAAATGATTATAAAGGAAAATTCAGGAGATCGTGAGATGGTTCAGTAGATAAAAGTACCTGTTGTGAAGCTTAACAACCCACATCAATTCCCAGTACTCACTTGATGGAAGGAGGGAACTGACTCCAGCAAATTGTTTTATGCTCGGCACAAGTGTGCAGATCCACTGATCTATTTTACCAACCTCTTACTTTATTGTTTTAATACTCGCATTTCTATTTCTAAACAAACTAGTTTTGTCTGATTGTTGAATTCTCTCACCTGGGCTGCATAGTGAGATTGTCTAAAATAAATGAGGGAGGAAGGGAGGAGCAGACTTCGCTACATCATGCATTGATAGTATGCTGCTAAATTATATGCCTTGAATGACACAAAGTTAAAAATAATGTATATCACTTACTTTCAAATGACTAAACAAATGAAACATACCTGTGAGTATTCATATACATGTGCATGTGGAAAATAGACATTGATGTGCATTGTCTTCTTTAATTGCTTGCCATCTTTTCTTTTTGAGGCAAGGTCTTAACTATGTCTTGGCTGCTTAGAACTGTGTAGACCAGGATGATCTCAAATCTACAAGATCTGCCTGCCTTTGCCTTCTGAGCTGTATGTAGGATTAAAGGCATATGCCACCACACCCAGCCTTCTACCTTATATTTTGAGCCTAAGTCTTACTGATTTGACTAGGCTAGATAGCCAGCACATTCTAAGAATTCTCCCTTCTCCGGCTCCCCAGCCCTGGAATTGCAAGCATGCATTGCTGCACCTGGCTTCTACAAGGGTGCTGAGGATCTAAACTTAGGTGTTCATGCAAGTACTTTACTACCACAGCATTTCCCCAGCCCCCTGAAATATTTTTATATTGAAAAAATCCCAAACATATATTTTTTAAAAGTAGCAAAGTAATACAATGAAACTTGTTCATAATGTTCACCTGTATTCCTAATTGGTTGCTGCTTTCTTTATGTCTCAGAAGATGGAGATGTGGTAAGTTTGAGGCTAGCCTGATCTACATAGTTCTGGCAGACAGGGCTAAATAGTAAGATCCTGTCTCAGAAAAAGTGGTGGACAAGTAAAGAAGACAATGCACATCAACGTCTATTTTCCACATGCACATGTACATGAATACTCACAGGTATGTTTCATTTGTTTAGCCATTTGAAAATAAGTGATATACATTATTTTTAACTTTGTGTCATTCAAGGCATATAACTTAGCAGCATACTATCAATGCATGATGTAGTAAAGAGGGACGAAGTCTGCTCCTCCCTTCTTCCCTCATTTATTTTAGACAATCTCACTATGCAGCCGAGACCAGCCTTAAACTTTAGGTACTCCGTTCTAAGTATTGATATTACAAGTGTACACCACCATACCTTGTATAGAGTAAACTGATTTTGATTTTTTTATATACCAGAAGCTTTATAGTTGGATCATATGGTAGTTCTATTTTTAATTTTTTGAGGAACCATTGTATTAAGTTCCATAGTGGCTGGACTAATTTAAATTCCCCCATCTTCATAATTTGTTCTGTATTTTCTTTTTTTATTATGTATGCAATATTCTGTCTGTGTGTATGTCTGCAGAAGAGGGCACCAGACCTCATTACAGATGGTTGTGAGCCACCATGTTGTTGCCGGGAATTGAATACAGGACCTTTGGAAGAGCAGACAATGCTCTTAACCACTGGGAGCCATCTCTCCAGTCCCCCCATATTTTCTTTTTAAAAATATATTTATTTTGTTTGGTGTGTGTGTGTGTATGCACCACGTGGATACAGTAGTCCAGAAAGGTCAGAGGAGATTTTGGAACCCCTGGAACTGGAGTTACAGATAGTTGTGAACTTTCATGTGGGTTCTGGGAACTGAACTGGATCCTCTGCAAGAGCAGTAAATGCTCTTAAACACTGAGCCATCTCTTCAGACTTCTGTTTCATTTTGTTTATGATAGCCACTTTTGCTTGGGTGGGATGGAATTTTGATATAATTTTGATGTTAATTTTCCTGGTGACTAGAGATAATTGAATATTTTTCTTGTATTTATTAGCCAATCTTAAAAAGAAATGAACTCATTATGCCAAATGAAATAAAACAGACATAAATACTGTATGTGTCCACTTACATGAATTATCTAGAATAAGTAAATTCAGAAATAGAAAGTAGAATGTGGGTTGGGGGGTAGATGTGCATAAGATTTTTTTGGTAGCTTTGGCAATCAGACATGGAATTTTGTATGTGAGAAGCATACATCTGCTAGTGAGCCACATTCTCAGTTCCCTAAAAACTGCTTTTCTTCTGTTTTGGAAATTAGTTTTGCTGTTTGTCCATGTCAGCTTGGAACTCCCAGGTTTGGGTGATTCTCCATCCTCAGCTTCCTAAGTAACTAAGACTGTAGATGCATTCCATAGCACTCAGCTGGATAGGGCACTTTTGTAATGAGTATAGATTTTCGGTTTAAGATGATGAATCATTTTGGGAATGAACTGAAGTGATAATAGGACCAGCAAGATGGTTCAGTGTTTAAAGTGCTTACCATGCAGACAGCTTGAGTTTGGTTTCTGGAACTCACATGAAGGTAGAAGGAGAGAACCAACTCACACAAATGATAAAAATTTCAATAAGTGACGATAGAACAACATTGTGACCATACACTTAAAATAGTTAAAATAGGAAATTTAATTCTACATATATATTACTACAATTAAAGAAACTACTATTAGATGGTTTCTAGAATCTTACACAAAAATCTTATAGAAATCATGTAATTTTACTTACTATTATAGCTAAGTGAATTCAGGATTTGGACACCTGTATTGAATTCGGTGGATTGAGCTGAACTGAGAACTAGGTTTCTGCATGTGAAACTTACTGAACTATATGCCAAGTGCTATATTAGTCACTGTAGCTATATTAAATAAGATAAGGCATAGTCCCTGGAGTCTTAGTTGCTAAGTAGTACAGAAACAAGAATAAACTTATTAAGAAAGAAGCAATTAAAAATCAGGTCCTTGTTTTCCCCTTAATGATTTCTGTTGTAGAGTGACATTAAATTATCTTTTTTCCCTCCCTTAGATTGCTCTGGGAATATATGACCACATAAAAGGAAGTGTATTCTGACAATTCTGATACCTGAGATGTAAGTGGACTCACTGAAGAGTGAAACAGTAAAAAGTTCAGTGCCAACCTTACTTATAATGGCTACTGATTCTGGGGAGCCAGCTAGCACAGAAGATTCTGAGAAACCTGATGGGGTTTCCTTTGAAAACAGGGTTGCTCAGATTGCTGCACCTCTGATTGTAGAAGCAAGAATGAAGGAAAAAACAAGCACCTTCTCTGCTGCCAGTGAAACCATTGAAAGAAAGAGATTTTTCCGAAAGAGCGTTGAGATGACTGAAGATGACAAAGCTGCTGAATCTTCTCCTAGAGATGAAAGAATAAAGGCTGCAACAAACATTTCAAGAGTAGATAAGCTTCCTACCAATGTGCTAAGAGGTGGACAAGAAGTTAAATATGAGCAGTGTTCAAAGGCAACCTCAGAATCCTCAAAAGATTGCATCAAGGACAAAAATGAAAAGGAAATGGAAGAAGAAGCAGAAATGAAGGCTGTAGCAACTTCCCCTAGTGGCAGGTTCCTGAAATTTGATATAGAGCTGGGAAGAGGAGCATTTAAGACAGTATATAAAGGACTGGACACTGAAACGTGGGTTGAAGTTGCTTGGTGTGAACTACAGGTGGGTTTATAATTTTATTGGCTTTATGAATTCCATGTTTAGCTGTCTTGACCACCAGAGTAACCCAGGTTGAAGAAAGTGAAGAGCCCTTCTACCGTTGTCTAGAATTTATGTTCCTTTCTAATCTGTTAGGAGCCCATGGCAAGCTTTTTAAAAATTCTTTCCCTGTTTTTCCTTTTTTTGGGGGGGGGCAATGCTGAGGATAGAATCTAGAGCCTTTTTACATCTTAGGCAAGTATTCTACCAGTGAGATATATTTCCAGTCAGTTACTTTTTTTTTCAAAGATTTATTCATTATGTAAAGTGTTTTGCCTATGTGTATGCCTGCAGGCCAGAAGAGGGCACTAAATCTCATTGTAGATGGTTGTGAGCCTCTATGTGGTTGCTGGGAATTGAACTGAGGACCTTTGGAAGAGCAGTCAGTGCTCTTAACCTCTGAGCCATCTCTCCAGACCCTGTTACTTTTATCTTAATTTTTGCAGTGCTGGGTATAAACTCAGAGCCTTATACAAGTATTCTATTGTTGAATTATACTCTGCTTCTCTCTATCTAATTCATTCATTTGCTTATTATTTAGATTATGATGCTTGGACCAAATTTTGGGCCTTGTATATGCTAGGCAAATGCTTTACCTCTGAGCTATAAAAAAAAAATACCCAGCCTTTGGAAATACAACTAATTTTCACTCTATATTTACCAATTTTCATTTGCTATTTTGAGACAAAGTCTTCAGTGTAGCCCAAGCTGTTCCTGAATTCTGTTTGTAGCCTAGGCTGGGCTCAAACTGATGTTCTTCCTGTCTCAACCTCTCTAGCGCTAGAATCATAGGCATATGCCCATCATGCTTGCTTTCCTTTCCTGTTTTGAAAAAGAAAAAGTCTATGTTGTGACATTCTTTTGGAAATTTTTTTTATTAGTTTCAGGAAATTCCCCAAATTCTCATTCATATCTCATTTTAAGAACTGAGTGTATGTGTCTCATTGGTTGATTGTTGCACTACATAATTAAGTGTATGATAGGAGTGTATTGAGTATAATGTCTACCTTTATCTTTTTCTTACAAAAAACATGAAATTCATATATTTTCCAAATAGTAAAAATTTTCTTTACTCTTTGAAAACTTCTATTGATATTCTGTCCTCATGCCTTTGAAATTCACAGCAATGTGAAATCACCAGACGCTATATAGGTTAGTTAGCTCAAGTTTGTTTAGTGAGAAAAAAATGGAGAGAACGACTAAATTACCAGATGTTTTGTTCTATGATAGATTTTTTTTTATATAGTTCTATTGACAAATGAGGGAGAAAGCAGCATAGAAGGTATTAAAATAAGAATAGTTTCAGGCAGATGTAGGTCAAATATAAGAACAAGCCTTGGTAACCTCAGTCAACTCATGAAAAAGTTCAGTGTTCATATGGAATACTTAAAATTAAGATTGGGACTGGGATTATGGCTCAGTTTAGTACAGTGCTTGCCCTAACATGCATGAGCAAAGCTTTGAGTTCAATCTCAGCACCACATATACCACATTCCTGTAATCCTGGTGCTGGGGAGGTAGGGGCAGGAGGATTAGAAGTTCATAGACATCCTTGACTACATGAGACCCTTCTGCAAAACAACAGCAACAAAACCAACAATAGAAACAGAAAACAAGCCACAAAATTAAGATTGAATAAAGACAGTCACTAAGTATAGGTTGCTATTGTTTAAATTCTGATGGTATCTTTGAGTGTGGGTGTCTATAAAATATTCAGATTCCACACATTATAAAGTGCTGTTGGTTATCATTTGGATAGATTGGAACTTAATCTAAGTGCCTGGTGTAGGAAGTTTATTATATTTTATTTGTGACATGGGCTGATATATTTCAGGGTAACCCCAAATTCACTGTGTATCTGAGAATGATCTCGAACTTCTAAGCTTCCTGCCTCCACTTCCCAAGTGCTGAGCTTACAGACATGTACCACCATGCCCAGTTTATTTGATTTTTGGGGTCTGAACTTCTCTGCCAACTGAGCTACATCTCTCTAGACCAGGCCTCCTTGAAATAGAACCTAGATATCTAGCAACTCCTGGTAGAGTCTGAACTAAAGATGTCACTGAAAATCAAAACAGAGTAAAACCACCAACAAGAAAAATAGAACAAATAGACTATAGCAGGTTACCATGTTAAGTGAACATTCTATGTACTTTTTATTATAGCAGTGATTATAGTCAAGGTAATGTTATAAGTAGAAGAAATACCTGAAAATCCATGTTTAAGGGTTAAGCATGATGCGAATACCTGTATTTCCATCATTTGGGAAATTGAGGCAGAAAAATACTGAGTTAGATGCCAGATCTTGTTTCTGAAAAAAAATTTTTAAATATTCACTGTATGGCTCTTAATTTTGCTCCTAAAATAGTTTTATTGTCCTTTCATGTTTCTAGATTCTGTTTGAGCCACACAAGAAAATGAATATGCTTAATTCCTATAAAGTCTCCCCCGCACACACAGTGTTGTTTAGTTCTATTTCCTTTTGTTTTCATCATTCCAACCATAGATGTTAAGTGTAGACCTGGGAACAAAGAGCTTATTTTTTTCTTTTTTCTTTATTTTTCCATTCAATTATTTACACTTTCTTCCCTCCTCCCAATCCCCTCCTGCTCCCCCATACCCGCCGCTCCCTCTCCTACCCTGCTTGAGGGAGGGCAGGGAACCCTGCCCTGTTAGAAGTCCAAGAGCTTATCTTGAATCTAGGGATGACGAGTCTTTCTTAAATATATATGTTCTAGTCTCTTTGTTTAACAAATTATATAACATGATTTAATCTAAACCAAAGACAAATGCTTTGCAAAATGGCAAAGGATAATGGTGGAAGAAGACAACTCTAGTCTTGGAAATATCATTTGTTTTTAAATTGAGTTATTTTTAGTTATTTGTTGCATAGGCTTTTTATAAAAAGAAAAAGAAATTGGTATGTTGAATAATGACATCTCAAAGATGGCCATGTCTTCATCCTTAAAACCTTACTTTGTTAAAAGTACATTTGTAGATGAGACTATTAGAGATGGAAATAGGGAAATTATTTTGGTTCATCTAATCACCAGTGTTTGTAAGGAGACAGGTAAGCTGGCAATCATTTGAGAAAGATCTAAGAATCGAAGCAGAGTTTGGAGTGATGCTGTTAGAGGACTTGGGTCACCAATTCAAAGGATGCAGATAGTCTAGAAAGCTGGAAAAGGCAAGAAATTAAACAGTTGCCTAGGGTCCCCAGAAGAAACAGTGCTGTTGTCTGAATTCTAATCTAGTGTGATTCACTATAGATTTCTGATTCTCATTTCCTCAAAATAATGTCTGTGTTTTGATCTACCAAGTTTATGCTAATTTGTTAGTATAGTGATGAGTTAATACAACCTAATACAGTTATCATTTTTTGGTTTCTCAACAAATAAACACTTCTTGCAATGTGCCAGACTTATACTATGTGCTCTAGACACAAAAAGGGAGAATAAGCAAACACAGCCAGATTTCATAAAGCTTATAGTAGGAGTTTATAGTCAGTATATGAAGAAGCCTTGGAGATTGGAGTTAGCAAAAGATGAAAGGGTTGTTAAATATGGGTTTGTTTAAAGGAAATGAGAGGTTAGAAGTAGAAAAAAAACAGAGGTACTACTCTTACTACCTCATTTTTCTTTCTGCATTTATTTTCAGGTGATTTTCAATTTACTAAGATATACTATAAACTAAAATATTGAACTTAACCAGACTATCTCAGTTTCCCCACAAAGACTCCCTCTTTTCAGTTCTGTAATCATATTCACGTTTCTATACTGTGTTTACTTACATGTTCTCCCTCCTCTTTAACCGTTATTCCTTGAAAGGGTACTAACAGTTTCTCCCTTCCCCTCTTCTTTTTTTCTTTCAGAGATGAGGTCTCACTATATAGTCTTCAAAGACCAAGAACTCATTAAGTAAACCATATTAACCACAATTATAAAATCTTTTTGCTTATTAAATGCTAGTATTAACAACATACATTACCATGGTTGGCTAACTAAACTCTACATTTTTGGCAAGATTACCACAATAGCGATAACTCACTTTTGATAGCAGGGGCTATATGGTGTTGCTATATATTAATGGTAGTGTAATTTTGACCTCTTTCCTACAGTATTATCTGTCAGATTATTCTTACTATAAATTTATTCTTTTTTTCTTTTTAGATTAGTATGTATCTTAGAAGTATGTACTTTGACACTGTAAAATACCCTCAGAACTTAAATCACTAATTTTTGGTGCTCTCTGGTGTGTTTACATAGGTAATCTACACTGTAATTATGGCGTTTTAGGTTTTTTTTTTTTTTTTTTTTGAGAATGATCTGGAACTTGCTGACCCAAGCTGGCCTTGAACTTTTGATCATCCTGCCTCAAATAGCAACTTTCTACTTTCTATTTTGTCTTCTATTCTTATCAATTGCCACTATTATCTCTTAGCTTTGTGTGGTCTTTCCTCACTATGCTGTTAAGTTTCTGAAAATTTAACAGTAGAGGAATTTTTAGTTGAGGTGTTTTAGTATACTTAGTAACAATGGGTATTATATACTTTGCATTTATCATAAAATTAAAATTTAATTGAACACTTGTATAAATTCATACTATTTTAGGAGAGATGGCTCTGGTTAAGAGCATTGGCTGTTCTTCCAGAAGTCATGTAAAAAAGAATAAAATTCTTACTATTTTATTTAATTTTGGCAACAGTTATATGAGGTTAAGATTATTATTTCCAGATAGCAGATCTGAGGTTTAGGCACATTAAGTAACCTGGTCAAAGAGGGTTTTCCATCGTTTATAGTTTTATGTGCATGTGTCAAAATTATGATATTTGGGCAGTGGTGGTGCTCTGAATTCAAGGCCAGCATGGTCTACAGAAAGAGTTCAGTGCTACACAAAGAAACCCTGTCTTGAAATAAACAAAAGAAATGTAATTACATATTTTCTCCTTCCTCCAACCCCTCCCA